ATTCATCTGACCCACGGGGCCAAAAGCTTGAGCACCTTGGTATACATCAAAAGGACTGGATTGACGCTTTCTAATCCCGCAAATTAAATTGAGTGTGGAGTATTACCAGCATTACCTTGAGGCCCAAGGCAGTGTATCCACCAGATGTTGCAGCGATGTGTGTGAAGTGTGAGGCTTGTCATCTTTGCTTTGAAATGTTTGGGCTAAGAATTTCAAAGCCAGCTAGGAGACATGAATGCTCAGGTCCCATTAATGGCCAATGGAAACAAGCCAGCCAGCCCATTAGGAGCATTTGAAAATCCTAGTTTTATAATCCAAGATTATGTTGAAGATACAATGGAAGGATAGCAGACACCAAAGACTGGATTCCACCAATTAGGTCTGTGAGTGGATTTAGGCACCTAAATGTAATTCTTTTCCACCCTGCTGAAGGAGAATAGTGGTGTCACCACTCCATCATGGGCACAGTTTCACACAGACAGGACAAAGTAAGACTGGATGTGTATAGGCAATGCATGTAAACAATAACTGTAAAAACAGCCAAAGCTTATTGGCTAATGTGGCCTTTCAAAGAGGTAGGAAAGCCTGTCAGGCTGATGCACCTGCCCATTGAGAGCAGTTGATTAGAACACAGTGGACAGCTCTGAGGGCACTTCTAGATGTAATGATCTTCACCATGTACATGTGACAAAAATTCCTTTGTGTAGCTTAATAGCGTCACACAATACACGTGTGCAAGGTTTGGGGGTTTCAAATGAGTTTGCAGCGTTGCAAACTAAACCACATCCCCATTTAGTTTAGTTTGTAACCAGTGGCGACACGTTGGGGGTACACAGGGGTGCATGTGCACCCCCTGAGAGCACTGGTGCACCCACTCACAGCCAGCCTTCCCCACTTAGGCGATGGGCAGGGGGGCTGGCAGGAGCACCAGCGCCTCCCCTGCGAGTGCCAGCTGGGGAGAAGTGCCGCTGGCACTTCCAGGTGCCCTGCTCTCGCTTCCCAGTTGGTGCGATTGGCTGCAGGGTGAGCCCCACCCCCCAGTTGGTGACTGGCCGCTGGGAGGGCATGTGCCCCCTTGACACAGGAGGCACCAGTTGCCCATATTTGCAACATTGCAAATTGCAATGATGCAGCTGTCAGTTCACCCCCTGGCCACGGGAGAGGTGAGCAAGCTTCGCCAAAAAAAAGGATGGGGCCCCTCGCCACTTCTCCCTTCAGCAGGCACCTGGCAGCCACCGTTGCCTGCTGCACATAGAAGCTGCAAGGGGCCAATTCCCATGCTGCACTGAACTCTCTCATTTACTGTGAGACTAAGAGAAGTGATGTGTTTTTCTCTCAGGTTGTGGAAGGCTGGACTTTACTCTCTAATTCTGCAAACACGCTCTTCTAGCATGCTTACTGGGGCGGCTGCTGTTGTTGTTGTTGTTGTCTTCCCTCCAAGTAAGTAGCACCCCTTTCTTTTAATTGTAAATCATGTAGGTGAGAGGTCAGTTTCTTTTTATAACAACAATCACACTTACCTCAGAGGATAAATTGAAAAAAATGCCACATTCCCTTTTTTATTGCCCCTTTATGACACTATGTCTGAGAGTACAAAATGTGCAAATGAACTGTGATCCTTACCTCAGATTCACATGGTAACTTTAAGACAGCTACGTGAAGGAATTACAGAATTAAAGAGTGGACCTTGACCTTTCTAAGGCCAAACAGGAAAGAAAAACTGGGCAGTTAGTAAAGCGTGTTGCCCACATCTCCCTTGTTAATTGATATGAATTTAGTATTCAGGAAAGTGAGGACTAAGAAAAAGAACAGCAGAGAGGCATATAGAGGCTGCAAACATGTCTTGTGCACAGCTATGCCACAGGGCCTCACTCCTGAATCCTGCCATGACTTTTCTGATTCACTCTTTGGTTAACACTTTGTATCACCCACCTACCCTGTCTTTCAGTTCCATGTCTCTCTCTTCAGCAGGGTCTCAGATCCCAAGAGGTTTTGTATTATCAGCAAAATGCCTAAGAAGGACATAAGTGATTTTTTTTCTTTTTTTACATTATTCACTCCAGGTAATTGACTGCCAGGGCTGGGATTGGTGCATCTTCAGCCCAAGGTTGGTTACGTGTGTGATTTTCTATTTTTGGAATGCCCTAGATCTCACTCCCACTCCTTGACAGCCATGCTAGCTTGAAGATAACGGTTCTTATAAACCTTGTTTTGTGGCTCTTTTGCCCTACAATGCTTAGTTGGGGAAAGCTGCTCCTAGTTACATGTTCCTGGGTTGCAGTTCATCATCATTGTACACATCAGTGGTGCTCAACCCCCGGCACACAGGCTAGATTTGGCCCTTGGTGCTATGTCATCTGCCTGCAGGGCTCCCCAGGGGTCCACTGGGAACCCTGCAGGCCATGGCCCTGGGTGCTAGATTGGGTGTGCAGGGCGGTGTGGGGAATGACCCTGGGGTATGGGGCTGGGTGGGGCAGTGTGGGGTGCTGGAGCCCAATCCTGGTGCATGGAACTGGGAAGAGCAGCACGCAGGGGTGGCACAGAGCCCAATCTGGTCCACAGACCAGTCCTACATCATTCATCTGACCCACGGGGCCAAAAGCTTGAGCACCTTGGTATACATCAAAAGGACTGGATTGACGCTTTCTAATCCCGCAAATTAAATTGAGTGTGGAGTATTACCAGCATTACCTTGAGGCCCAAGGCAGTGTATCCACCAGATGTTGCAGCGATGTGTGTGAAGTGTGAGGCTTGTCATCTTTGCTTTGAAATGTTTGGGCTAAGAATTTCAAAGCCAGCTAGGAGACATGAATGCTCAGGTCCCATTAATGGCCAATGGAAACAAGCCAGCCAGCCCATTAGGAGCATTTGAAAATCCTAGTTTTATAATCCAAGATTATGTTGAAGATACAATGGAAGGATAGCAGACACCAAAGACTGGATTCCACCAATTAGGTCTGTGAGTGGATTTAGGCACCTAAATGTAATTCTTTTCCACCCTGCTGAAGGAGAATAGTGGTGTCACCACTCCATCATGGGCACAGTTTCACACAGACAGGACAAAGTAAGACTGGATGTGTATAGGCAATGCATGTAAACAATAACTGTAAAAACAGCCAAAGCTTATTGGCTAATGTGGCCTTTCAAAGAGGTAGGAAAGCCTGTCAGGCTGATGCACCTGCCCATTGAGAGCAGTTGATTAGAACACAGTGGACAGCTCTGAGGGCACTTCTAGATGTAATGATCTTCACCATGTACATGTGACAAAAATTCCTTTGTGTAGCTTAATAGCGTCACACAATACACGTGTGCAAGGTTTGGGGGTTTCAAATGAGTTTGCAGCGTTGCAAACTAAACCACATCCCCATTTAGTTTAGTTTGTAACCAGTGGCGACACGTTGGGGGTACACAGGGGTGCATGTGCACCCCCTGAGAGCACTGGTGCACCCACTCACAGCCAGCCTTCCCCACTTAGGCGATGGGCAGGGGGGCTGGCAGGAGCACCAGCGCCTCCCCTGCGAGTGCCAGCTGGGGAGAAGTGCCGCTGGCACTTCCAGGTGCCCTGCTCTCGCTTCCCAGTTGGTGCGATTGGCTGCAGGGTGAGCCCCACCCCCCAGTTGGTGACTGGCCGCTGGGAGGGCATGTGCCCCCTTGACACAGGAGGCACCAGTTGCCCATATTTGCAACATTGCAAATTGCAATGATGCAGCTGTCAGTTCACCCCCTGGCCACGGGAGAGGTGAGCAAGCTTCGCCAAAAAAAAGGATGGGGCCCCTCGCCACTTCTCCCTTCAGCAGGCACCTGGCAGCCAC